TAGAGGACTGTGATCCATTGGTGGTATGGAGAAACTGAAATACATCAGAAGTAATGTCAACAGAAGCATTTGACAAATTGGAAAAAGTATAATCGCCTTATAAATTATAGAGGTTAATTTCTAATTAAAATCAGCATGTATAATGAAAATTTAATTGTGCAAGTGTTTTTATATATTTAAATAAATCCCTCTTTAAAATTGAGGTGGTTTACAGGTTACAAAGGGTAACATAGCCCATTTGCTTATTTCTGCTGTCATGAGTACCTCTGTAAACTAGATTATTTAGTGGACTACAAATTACATATTCAGGTGCCTGTTATTAAACTTATCATTCACAATTTATGGTAGCACTTATGAAGAAAACATCCCATGTCTGCTGTCAGTGGCATTAGTTCAGAAAAGCACTTTGAGCTTTTTTTGATGCATGAAATTTTGCTCTCTTTGGATCACTGATTTTTTTTTCAACTTTTTAGGAAACTTTTATTTGTCTATCTTAATTTCTTGGTTTTAAGTTACTGAAATCTGAACATAAATGAAGGTCACATTGGGGAGGAAGTTTATGTAATTACTTCAAATAGTCCTTCCTCTCATGCCCCTCCATCAATGTACATGCCAGAAATAACATGTTTTTTGAAAATACTAGTTTCATACAGTATATTTTGGCAGGGACAGATGCCAGGTGGTGTTGGAACATTTCAGAAACATGGTGATAACGTTCCACTCCCGTCTGTAACAGACGGACTCCTCTGTCTGGGAGACGAAGGCACAAACATTTACTGAGGAACAGGACTATAAAAAGTCAAAGCATTAATTAGGAAGACTGCAGTGCTCATTAGTGACTACTTCTAAGTCTACTCTTTACCAGAAGTTACCGTTTCTTCTTTCACGACACAATTTGGGAAGGCAGAAGGAAAAAGTAGGAATGTCTTTAATCAGATCAAATCCTGTTACCCTATGACATAAATTTTTTACTCTTTTCTTATTTTCAGTGTGGAGACAGGTCTATGTGCAAAGCTCTTAGAGGCTGGTATTTGGAGTTTGGCACAGAGATGGCAGCTCTCAACCTATGGCAAGATATATACCTCTGAGCCCCTGACTTGCAACCAGTTCCCACAGAAGTGAAGTACCAATAGTAGTACATTCTCTGCTCCGTGGATTTGCCCTGGCTGGACATTCAGATGCAGTATTTCAAGCTGTATTTGCAGCCTTTCTTGCCAAAGCTATGTAGACAACTGCAGACAGTTCTGTGACAATAATTTTACAAAGCACTTCTTTGTGCTTTCTGCCTGTCATTTGCCAACAGCCACAGATTCTGCAGTGGTTGTTTCACAGAGGCCCTGCAAGAAGTAGGAGATTCTTCACCATAAGGTTATAAAGGAGCCTCTTGTCATATACAGTGAGGAAAATTTATTTCCAGCCATACATAGTTTTCTAAAGCAGTTCTAAAATACAGTGGGATACAGGCCTTAATGCTCAAACCATAAATACATAACATTTGTTTGCATATTTTCTTCTCAGATTACATGCAGTAGTGGTTATATTATGGCTAGGACATTCAAAAACACGAAACGGAGTTTTACAGTTTATTATTGCAAGTGTAAAATTATCAGTAGAGAGAGGAACCACAACCTACTGCTTCCTGTCAGTCTGAATTTTTGTTGTATTTTTTTCATTTCTGCCAGCTATGAGCAGCATTGGTGTCCAAGACAGAGTACTATTCATGAGTCACAGGTGGACAGCACTGTGAGGTGACAGAGCTGTACATATGAAGTAGAGATGTCTGGTAGGAGTATTTCACTAGGAATATGTGAAATTCACTATTGTATATATTCACTAGGAATATATACAATTTTTGTAGTGCTTGATACACAGCTGAGTGTTATTTTTGACAAAGCTAAGTATCTGTCTCGGTCTTACTATAAACGACATTTTTATGGACTGTGATTACAGTGAGAGATAGTTGAACTCTCCTAGCGATGTCTGTGTGTGTGTTACACCATCTCTGCATCTGAGAACCTCTGTAAAAGCATGGCATTTATTTTTCTCATGAAAACTGGCATCCACATATGTCTAACTTTACTATTAGCTGTTTTGATTGTCTGACTGTAAGGATTTTTTTCATTTGATCCTATGAATCCTGCACTGACTAACCCACAATTATATGAAAAGAGATAATTGAAATTACTTTAGGTCTTCCTTAGCACTGAGTGATTTTACAAATTTGTCAGTCAAGGATAAAGCCACAATCTGAAAGACTGGGGTGCAGGGCAGTCTTTCTCACAGCTTTTGGAATAAAGGTAAAACTATTGTAGTATCTCTTGTTTTAATTGGTGGCTTGCTTTTAATGTATTGCAGTCAGTATTTAAACCGCAAGTTTGAACTGGCATACACAAAATGTTGTTCCTTTAGTTTTGGATTTCTGTATTTTGATACATAATATTTGTTATTTGGTTTTTTAAAATAATTGTTATGATTTTGATATAGAAAATATTGTTGCTTTCATAACGTTGCTACATGGAAACTGACAACGCCTGCTTTTGATTTATGGAATGAATCAATCGAGGAGAGAGGCTTTCATGGAACGGGGGGGTGCATGTGTGTGTTTGCACTATGTAACCTGACTCTGAGCAGATCAGGGTGGAGGGTGGGGTGCAGAGGGGAGAGTACAGCTGCTAGACCCCAAATCCATATCTGACATCTGTGAATCAAGTCATGTTGGACAAAGTTGACAGGTAAGCAAATAGAATCAAACTGTGATGCTTGTTCACTTGTGAACCTACAAAAAACAGGTGGGAATTAGATCAATACAGAGAAAAAAATCTGTTATTTCGTGTTTTAAGTGGGTTTCCACTGATTAGTCTGAGATTAAATAATCCTGTTAGAATGAGGAAATGTCTTACCTTAGCAGAGATAAATAAAGTTCAGGGTTATCAGTGTGACACTTTGATGACCACCAAATTCATCCCAGCTGTTTGAACAGACAGGCCTGGGTTCCTGTGTTGGACTAGCTGGTACAAAGAAAGAACTTCTAGAGTCTGATAATTTTTTCTGCTGTTTAACTCTTCTTTCTTAAGACAGTTATTTTGATTTCAGGGTGCAGCATGCCTAATGACATTTCTGTTTCAGTTTGCAGCTCATCTAGTGAAAATCAAGTACCCAAGGGTCTGCATCCTAGATGGAGGAATCAACAAGATCAAGCCAACTGGTCTCCTCACTGTTCCTTCTCCACAAATTTAAATTACTGTAAACATTCAGGACAATCTGAATAGGGAAGTCTTACCATACAACATGGATATCTCAAACACAAAGGGCATTTTGGCATCTTCATTATACACGCTGTCTGATCAGTGTCTTATCCTGCAGATCTAGAGCATGAGAACTTTGCATTTATTCTTTGATACTGAGCTGCAGTTGGAACAGATTAAAACTATGATGCTTCAAGCTTTCCGAGATATCTTTCAGCACTGATGTAGTGCACAACTGGTTGAACAAGTCTGAACACAGAAAGGGCAACTCAGCTGGCATTTGGTATCTTATAAATTTTTCTGTCAAACAAAATAAACTGGCACTTGACAGCTGTAAGCTGCACTTAAATAGATAATTTTTCAAAAGTATTGTACTGTGAATATTGAAAGTAACAAACCGAAGCTGTACAGTGTGTGTATCCTGTGAAAAAGTTTGTTGTCTAATATTTTTAAAAGTAATTGCTCTATCTTGTGACCTACTTTATTTCTAAGAAAACATTTTTTTCAGTTGGATTGGAAATAAAGATGTGTCCCAGACTGAGAGTCACTGTAAGAGCTGCTGCTGAGTCAATCAAAATTGTATCATATCCTGCAGAAGTGGAGAAGACCTGTTCAGAATATGACATTCTGTTGTAAAATCAACAAAATTACACCAAGGATCTGTTCACATGGTTACAGCTGCATATTAGCTTGCATGGAGAATTTGACACCATGCTCTTTATTAGAGCATTGTCTGGGACACAGCAATTTACATGACACAAGCTCAGCTTTAGGGTAATGAAGATTTGCTCTGGAAGATATGGTTCTCTTTTGCTTTAGTTGAAGATTTTATATCATTAATAGTTTTTAGTGTTTAGGGTTTTTTGTGGTGGTGTGGTGTGTTTTGGATTTTGTTAATTTTGAAGGTTTTTTTGGACTGAAACCATGGAAGATGAGACCTTGGTGGAAGGTACTGAAAGAGGAAGTCTTTGTTCTCACCTGTGCAATGACCAGAAGATTTTAACCTGGATCTTCAGAAACTGGTAGCTAGCACTATATGCTGTCTCCAGGGAGGTTTAGTCTTGCCACAGCTGTGGTTTTGACAACCCTATTGGAAAAGTATGATGGGTGAAAAGAATATAGGGAAA